GATAAAGAAATTCAGGGGCGATATAGAGAGATTGTGAGGAACAGGTACAATGCAATACCTTAAGTACAAAGTATAAACGATCAGTGGGAAATGCTGAAAGACTCTATCCACCAAACAAGCAAAGAGATTCGAACAGTAAGAAGACAAATAGCTAAACAGAAATGGATGACCAAGAAATTTTAAAGTTACTGAGTGACAGAAAACAATGTATAAAGGACAAAGATGAATATGACAAGATAAATTAAAAAAAAAAAAAAAATAAAACATTAGTGCATTAAGGCAAAAGAACATTGGCTAAATTAACAATGTAATAAAATTGAACACAACCTTATTAAAGATGCAAAAGGTGTGTACAAACAAATTAGCAACCCAACTGGAAGAAACATAAGAGTAAACACAGGATGTCTGAAATCGAAAGCAGGAGAGATCTTACTGGAGGAAGATGATATATTAATTAGATGGAATGTTGAATGAAGAATCGACATCACAGCACTCAGGACACTCTCATAAGTGCTCAGTCTCCATCTTCAGCAGCAAGCTAAGAGTTCTAGTTCCGATAGTACCAGTAACTGTCTGACTGTATATCCATCTCATCCTTCCCTGGAGTGTTGAACGTCAGCCAGATCCCCTGATTACGCCTCACAGCGCTATTCTCCTCAGACCGTTAAGATCCTCTTGCGCCTCCCCACTGTTTACTCTCTACCAAAAGGCCCTCACAACGTCTAGCTTGTCATACATCAATTCATCACCAGGTGGTGCAGAACCAGCCAGTCTATCTGCCTGCTCATTTCCCAACATACTGGCATGACCTGAAAAAAAATATCCAAAGGATGCTAACTACCAGGGACCTCTGAAGTAATGCTTGCCACTCTGCATCTAAAAATTTAAAAGAATACCTTTTATGGATTTTGTACTAGTTAAACATGAGGAGATTACAAAAATTTAGGAAGACATCAGTGTATATGGGAAAAATCTCTGAATAATTAAAAATACTTACTGGAACCAAGTAGCAGCAATTAAAGTGGGAAACAGATTGTGTACTTTTGAACAGATGAAACAAGGAAACAAGGATGTGTCTTATCCCCCAGACCTATTTTCTCTATATAGTGAAGTAATTTTAAGGGAAATAAAAAAAACAAAACAGGAATTAAAGTGTGAGGATACAATAAAGACGTTATGTGTATGATACAGTTTTGATAGCTTATAACGTAACTGATTTACAACAACTGCTGGATTTTGTAGGGATGGAGAGTGCTAACAAAGGCCTTTCCTTGAAAATTAAGAAAACGGAAGTAATGGTTATATCACAGAAGAAGATACCACCACATTGTAATATCTCAATTGAAAGAAAAAGGCTTAACCAAGTCAATAAATTTAAATATCTGGGAGCAATCATATCAGATGGAAAATGTGTGACAGAGATTAAAAGCAGAATATGTTAAGCAAAGGCAGCATTTCAGAAAATGAAAAATATCTTATGCAATAAGTCGCTCTCATTAAATGTCAGAAAGAGGGGCTAAAATGTTACATAGAACTTGTTCTGCTGTACCGCAGTGACTCTTTGAATGTCAGTGAACAATAAATAAGAATTTAGAAGCAACAGAGGTGTGGTTTCTAAGATGAATGTTACAAAAACCTTGGACAGTCAGAGTAACTAAGAATGATTGTTTAAAAGAAGGTGAAGAAAGTAGATCTCTTTATACAACAATAAGAAAGAGACAAACACTTTTCTTTGGCCATGTAATGTGAAGAGAGGTATTGGAAAAACATTGTGACAACTGGAAAAATCAGTGGGAAGAGTGATAGAAGCAGACCTAGAGAGTTACTGCTGGGTGGGCTGAAACGATGGCATGGAAGGATATTATCAAGGGAGCTGGAACAGGGATCAGGGAACAGGGATCATGATCTGTAGAGATGCTTGAGTGCCTACACGAACTGGCAGGGCACATGATGACGATCATGATCTCAAAAGTCTTTATCTTTGTGACATGTACTGAATCTACTTTGTTACCGATCTCTTCTCTATCATTTTCAATATTCAGGTATGCAAATAGCACACAAATAATCAACATCTACATTTTGAGAAATAGACATTTCCGCTGGAAAGTTTTTTTTTTTAAACATTCATCCAACTACATGAGTGTCAGTAATTCTTTTACTATATTTACTAAAAGTTGTGAAATCAAATGGTGTGAAGTTCAGTTGGCCAATAACAACAAACAATTGATGTTGAACAGAAGAATGCATGAAACATAAACAAGAAGCACTCAGAATCTTTCATTACAATTCTGAGTTGTTATTTCCTCAATATAAAACATCATTATAACTAATAAATGAGAAACAAATGGACTAATGAGGCGAAAACATCAAAGAGAAACTCTATGACAGAAAAACAGAGGTCCCAGACCAAAATCCACACATACAAAATTGCAAAAGATAGCAAGGAATGGTGGAACTGACTGCCAGCCCTAAGTGACTTATAACAACACAATGGGTAAGGAATGAATGATTAGTTAGGACCACCAACACAGACAGATCCAGGAGTGCTCAGATTTCCTCCTCAGTAGCTCCACAAGTGCAAAATGACTATAATGCCCATTCTTTGTTAATTAACCAAACATCTTGTGCCCCTAGTGAAACATTTATGCCTGGCAGCTCCAGCCTGCACCCCCCTAATTCACCAACCTGGACAGGGATAGAGAGTCATGCTTATTTCTGGAGTCATCATTGCAATATGCATCTCACATGATATCGATGACAGCACACCAGTCCGTCACCAGACATAGTGACCACAATGTTAGCCAGACAATCTGCACACTCACTGCCACATAGCTTTATGACCCAGCTCACAGATAACGTTAAGAAATGCCATTCACTCATTTGATTAATGTAAGAAAAGGAAATCAAATGTCTTCAGAAACGCAACCACCATTTTTTTTAATGTTTCAGTTTATGGTATTTAAATGTCTATATATCAAGAGACCACAGTTATGAAAATGCATAGAACATAGTTAGTTGAGGATAATTTACAGGACTTCTTCTTCTTCTGCGTTCAACATCAGTCATGCTAAACATTGAGTCCCGTCTGGGTCACAAACAGGATTGTGCTTTTAAGGTCGCCACCGGTCCCCCATAGCTTCTCTCGCAATGTGGATCCCCTGGGCCAGATCCACAGTCCTGGGAGAGGTAAGGGCAGTACTGTAGTATGTGCTCAGGGGTCTGTCTTTATTCTCCACAATCACAGGCAGCAGATTCTTTTATGCCTATCCTGTACAGGTGTGCTCGAAGACCACAGTGTCCAGTCAGAAGTCTAAAAATTGATGTTTGTTCTTTCCTGTTAAGTTTGTTTATGCTGTCACTCTCTGGTCTGTAATCTCCATTCTGCCTTCTCCACTCCCACTTGAAAGACTGCTTTAGCGTTGTTTTGGTTTCCTTGTAGCTGTGTGGTGGATGAGGTTGTGGAAGATTACTCCCAGATTTTGCCAACTCATCTGCTCTCTCATTTCCTTAAATACCACAGCGGGCTGGTATCCACTGCAAGACCAGTTCTGCTTCCTTGGAGAGTAAGCCAATGTTGGTCCTTAGATCTGCAAAATTTACAGGAGCATTGCAAAACCAACTCCAGGATTCTTTTTGGCTTTTGTAATTTTTCTAGGCAAATTTATGTTCAGTAGTTTGCCACTGCTTTCTGAATGATCAGCTCTTATTACCACTTTTGAAACCAACCAAAGTCGGTCGGCTGCCAAATAACCTGCAGCTTGGATGAAATCTGGCACTATAAGGCATGTTCACATCACCTAAGCCACTGACAACGGGACATAATACATAACAAAATATATTGTGCAAATATATAAAAACAAGGAAGGTTAACATAAACTGTTTCACTTCTGCTTCCAGTAAAATCTGCTAGCATACAACATTATGTGCTCATACATCTGGAAGACATCAGAAATACACGATCAGAGTAGCTTCGTGATGACCCATTTCTAGTACCTCAATTCAAACTAAACTGGTGACAACATAACAATGGAATCAAGTTCACTGCTGATGTATGAACATAATTCACTTTGAACTGATAATGAATAACTGCTGATGAATGAAAGTGCAAAGTTCTGGCATTGAGCAGTACATAATAATTTCAGTGATGTAAAATACAAAATAAAAACATTTTTATTGCTAAATTGTGTCTTGCAAAAAATCAGGGCTACTGTCCTCTTAGATGCATGCCTGCGGATCCCACGTCTTGGGTTCTGGTCATGACGGAGCTGAACTTTTTATTTCAAAATGATTTTGACTCCCATGTCGACCCAGCCTTGAGTGCGCACTAGGTATAGCTCTGTGAAGTAAAGGCGACCAATGGACCACATCACCCACTGCCGATTGGTCTATAAAATATAGGTCTAGCCCCTTATGCCTAAAGGTGTGGAAAAGGATCCTTGACTTGACTGACTTTTGTAGCCACAGGGTGTCTGAATATAACTATTTCATATGGTTAAATGGGTCACCTGTGATCTGTTGTCGTTGGATGGGCACCTAAAGAAGCTCCAGGTTCAGATCCACACAAAGAATACAGAAAAAAGGTATTTGTGTTTTAAATGGTGCTGAGACACTTAACACTTCCATGGAAAATGTTCATATCCTCAGCCATAAAAATGTGTTCCTCCATTGTCGCTTCCATCTTACTTATCTCTAGCTCTGTTTGCTGTAATTTGCTTCTAAAACTTGAACTAGGCAAACCAAAAAACATGACTCAAAATTATTAACTCCAAATACTGGTTCAGCAATATATGCCCAATAAATTAAAGCCACGAAAAAGGTCCTTCACTTTACTTATGGTATCTGAGTTTAACTACTAGGAATAATACTGATAAATACACAACTACTTGAGACTGCATCTGTTGAAAGAAACTTTGTTGTGTTGTGTGATTGTTACATCTGCCTCACAATAAAAAAAACCTCATAGCAATCTCAAGAAGGATACCAGCCCATCTTGTGTGATGTTATTTTCTGACTGCGTAAACTGGATCACCAATTCGTATAGTAGATTCAACATCAACTCCAGCAAACACTCCAAACAATGGAGCCTTGCTGACCTCAGGAAACATGCGAAAGCTGAAAACAAAATATTTTGCAGAATATTATATGAACATATTATTTGATAACACAACCTGAAATGTTTGAAAAGTACATAATAAACACATACTTGAAGCTGCAGACACAAATTTGAGTAAATAGGAACCAAAAAGTAACTTGATTTAAATTTTATGTCCTTTCCTTACGTAGCACTAAATAAAAATGTATCAGACAAACTCCAAGAAATTCAGGTGAAATATTTGGATTAGGAACTATCTTTCTCATCTCAAGTGACATAGATGATTATTAATGCGAATTAGCAGTGCAGTGATTGTGGTCACTAGCATGAGGGAAAGTTACATATGTGCTGTGTCAACAGTAATAATATGTACATCTCCTCAGATGCCAGAAGGTTCAGTGCTCGTTCTATAATGTTTGAGAGGCAGACAAAGTGCAAGAGAGTTCAAAGCAAAAGCGAATGGACGTTGCTTAGTGCAACAAAGCCTGGCATATGATATCACAATGTCTAGTTTGAGGATGGAGGTGGAGGCAGTCACTGCTGCCTTCTGCTGGCTTGAGAATCACGATCATGTCATAATAGTAACTGACTCACAGAGCATGTTGATAAAGATGGAGACAGGCATGCTCTGTGCAGAGTGGCAAGCATCACAGAGGTCCAGTGTAGACAGCATCCTTTACATATTTTCTTCAGGTATGCCAGTATGTGTGGAAATGAGCAGACAGATAGTCTGGCAGGTTCTGCATCATTTGGTGGTGAACTGGTATATGACAAGCTAGATGTTTTACAGACCTCTGGGAGTGAGTGAACAGTGCAGAGGCACAAATAAATGAGTATGGTCTGAGGAGAATAGCAGTGCAAGGAGTTAGCAGGCCGAGACTCAAAACTCAAAGGTAAGGCAAGACGGATATACAATCAGTTACTGGTGCCATGGAATGGGACGAAGCGCTTATGGCAGTGTCCCGAGTGCTATGATGACCATTCCTAATTCAACATTTAACATTTGCATTTCAAAGTTGTCGCTAGAAACTTTTGTCCCTCTTTGAACTTTTCTAGGTCTTTTGAAGGTCTGAAAAAGGCAAACTGCCTTTCAATGGATTTTCAAGAAATCAAGGGTCACTATGAATCCTGTGATACTTACGTTCTTAGTGTTTTCAGGGGCTCCTCATCACTTCTCCGATCACGTGTTGATGGATTCACAGTTGTTAACAGACATCTAAAACAGAGATGGTTTCAAGTGTAAGTTTTAGGGAAAACAAAACACACATTTAGATACACTGTCCCCGTGTTGGTTCTGGAAACCCAATTTGACTTTTACTACAATAACAAACAAACACCACAAAAAATAGATCCACTGTCTCCCTAACAAGCATTTTATACAAGTTGACTAATTAGGGGAGTTTCCACTGAAGTTAGAGAGCATCTGCTTGAGAGGCAAAGAACAAAGTCTGTATGAAAAAAAAAAAATTAGATTTGTAAAATGGATGTGCATGCAAAACAAAATTCTGGAACAAGATAAAAGTCCAGTAATAGACAAACAACCAGAACTTTCTGCCGGAAATCTGGTAATCCTAGTTTCAGCATCATAGCAAACGGGTCGCCCCATTGTTGCTCCGCTCCTGTGCCAACGAAAAACACTCGTAGCTCACAGTGTCACACCATGCACTCAACTCAGAAGCTGGGTGACGAAACTATATCCTTCCAGTCTACAAGTGGAGCAAAAATGCAACGGCCACCGCCTGGCAGAACTGCCACGGCTTAATTAAAAAAAAAAAAAAAAAAAAAAAAAAAAATTGGCCGTGCCTAGCGTCCACTGTGACTTGAAGCATTATGTGAGGGGTTAACAAATGGTCACCCCAGCAGTACCCTCACTATTAGCTGGGAAAGGGACTTAGGACATTACATCCACCAGCAGGCGTCGCCCCTACAACGACCTGACTGCCTTCGTTAACGACTGTTCACCCAACAGCCATGCAGTTCTTTGGCACGAAGGAGACACCTTGAACTTGGGTTTCGGAATGCCGACTTCCTACAAAATGTTATTTTGTGTTTTGTTATCACAATCGACGTCACTGCACATTGGGCATACCCATGCGTGCGCAGTCCTCCGAAGCAGCAGCCACTCCAAAGTACTTCTACTAATTGTCCCCATGAGAAGCTGGTTATATTGTCTCCTTTCTCGGCCTCGCAGACGGCAAAGACGTGCTTCACCATGCTTAACTCCCATGTCATGCAATCGTGTTAGTGTCAGGGATTCGATATTATCCACTAGCCCAGTACGTACAGCGTTAACGATATCTGCTCTGTCCATGCTTTTTCCCGCAATCATTAGTGCTGTGCTTGCCAGTTGGTCCGCTCGCTCATTTCCCTTTACGCCCGCATGACCCGGTGTGTAGATCCAGGTTACGGAAGTTAAGTGCGATTTCCGAATGCTTTCTATCCATTCAGAGCGCATACTGCCTGTTGCTATTTTCTGAAGCATATTCATTGAGTCTGAGACAATTACTGCTTGTTACTTGCCGGAAATAACAGCTGGTGAACAATAAGAAGAAGAAACGCTGAAAGAAAACAGAACTGTGGTGAAATTATCAATGAATATGTCACAGAATAAAGCAGAATTTAAGTGCCTATGTTATATAAACAATAATGAAAACGCAGATAAAAATTGCTAAGGGTGTGGGGATGTGAATAGGAAGACAATAAAATTACACCTTTTTTTCCAATATTTGCTTGATGCTGCTAGACATGCCAGTTTGAGTACTGATAGGTAACCAAGCCAGAGTGCATTCAGTCTGGTATGCTGTGATGTTGGTGTGCTGTGATGTTGGTGTGCTGTGATGTTGGTGTGCTGTGATGTTGGTGTGCTGTGATGTTGGTGTGCTGTGATGTTGTTGGTATGCTGTGATGTTGTTGGTATGCTGTGATGTTGTTGGTATGCTGTGATGTTGTTGGTATGCTGTGATGTTGTTGGTATGCTGTGATGTTGTTGGTATGCTGTGATGTTGTTGGTATGCTGTGATGTTGTTGGTATGCTGTGATGTTGGTATGCTGTGATGTTGTTGGTATGCTGTGATGTTGTTGGTATGCTGTGATGTTGTTGGTATGCTGTGATGTTGTTGGTATGCTGTGATGATGTTGGTATGCTGTGATGTTGTTGGTATGCTGTGATGTTGTTGGTATGCTGTGATGTTGTTGGTATGCTGTGATGTTGTTGGTATGCTGTGATGTTGTTGGTATGCTGTGATGTTGGTATGCTGTGATGTTGGTATGATGTGTTGTTGGTTTGCTGTGATGTTGGTATGATGTGATGTTGGTATGATGTGATGTTGGCATGATGTGATGTTGGCATGCAGTGATGTTAGTATGCTGTGATGTTGGTATGCTGTGATGTTGGTATGCTGTGTTGTTGGTATGCTGTGATGATGTTGGTATGCAGTGATGTTGGTATGCTGTGATGTTGGTATGCTGTGATGCTGATATGCTGTGATGTTGGTATGCTGTGATGTTGGTATGCTGTGATGTTGGTATGCAGTGATGTTGGTATGCTGTGATGTTGGTATGCTGTGATGCTGATATGCTGTGATGTTGGTATGCTGTGTTGTTGGTATGCTGTGATGTTGGTATGATGTGATGTTGGTATGATGTTATGCTGGTGTACTGTGATGCTGGTATGTTGTGATGTTGGTATACTGTGATGTTGTGCAGTCTTAAGCTGTCTGTGAATCCTTCAATCCACACTCTTCTAGGTTTCCCCTGCCTTTTGGTGTTTCCATGTTTATGTTGCACACACTCACTGCCAGCATTGTTGTGTTTATCAGGTAGCCAAAATATTTCAGTCTTTGTTTCTCAATTAATTTAATTATGTGATTGTCCCAATAGTTCTTCTCATCTTCTTATTTCTCAACATGATCTCTTCTCAGTGTTGTCGAGGTAATAATTTTAAAAAAAAGTGTCATCTAGTCTATCAGAAAAGAACATAATCAGGTCAATTACGACCACCATTTTCTTGACCAGCAAAGACAGGTCACCTTTATTAACTCCGCCTCTTCCCTTCCTCTTTGACAGCTTTAGGTGTTGAAGGAGAAGTCAGGTTCTGCTTTTTGCTCTTCTGGTTACCTCCACCATGAACACATGTACTGCCGTTGAATGTCTCTCATGTTATCTGTCCATATTTTCTTGTTCTACCTCATGCTCTAGATCTCTCTTCTCTTTTGGTGTATGTCTTGTATTATCTTAGCTCAAGTCAGCTAAAAAAGAAGATCTGAGTAACTTAAAATGCCTGCCTAAGACGATGATAATGCTCTAGCAGTAAAAGTTGGTACAATTTATGCCAGAATTCCAAAAGCAGATGAACAAAATTTCAAACAGATAAAAAAAGTCTTTGTACCTGTCACAAGGGGCCAGAACTCTCATTTTCAGATTGTTTCCAATCCTAAGGTGTGACCAGTTGTCCTGTAGTTAAACCATTTGTAAAATTAATAGATGTTTTTTTTAAAAATTAAAAAACTAGGTGAGAAAAATTCATACAGGCATAAAATATTTAGATACCTGGTAAGTTTGCAGGTATGTATATGTATATATATTTATAAACTTTGGTACATCTTCTCCCTCTCCCATATCTTCAACCTTGACTGAGATACTATCTGCAGGATAGGTGCACTGTCTGGTGGTAGTCTTGGCACATGTCCAAACCATTTGACCTGTTGTCCCTTGAAATAATTTAATACTCGTTCCGTCCCAACTTCTTTCCTGATATTATCATTTCGGACCCGCTCTCTTCTAGATGCATTTAGGATTCGACGTAGAAATGTCATTTCTGTTGTTTCAAGTTTTCTTTTGTTGTTAATATCCATATTTGGCACTGAAGGCACTCTATGGCAAGGTCAAGAACTAAATGCAGACTGCTGCATTATTTACATAGTCTGGTTGATGCCTTCATGTACACATACAAATAAGATCAGCAAGCTTTTTGCTACTTAAGGGCCCCTTTCCATGCCCCTAGGCATGCTGGCTATATAGTGCTAGACTATATTTTATAGACCAATTATTTTACTTCCCAGGAGTTTACCTGGTACCCATTTTAGTCTTGATCGGCCTGTGAATCAAGCTAATTACACAAGTAAATTATTAACACATTAACAAATTTGTTGAAGAAAATTCAAGAAATACAATAAAAATTAAATAAAAATACTTATATACTTCATCCCAGGGTTCCTTGGTTCCCTGAATGACAATGTTGGGCCGAAAGTTCTTCACGGTAATCTGCCCATCCGGTGAGGGTTCTATTCGAGACACCAGATTAGCTAGTGATTCTTCTGTAATTATGTGATAAGGACTTTCATCTGGGAAGGCCACCTGAAAAATAAAGAATAGAATACAAACCACTGCAGGAATGTCTTGGTGTGTCCGTCATAAACAGAAAGAACAAATGGTTCAATAAAAAATGTGAAGAAGCAGTCAGTAAGAAAAAACATGCCAGGCAGATGTGGCTAAGAGATACTAGCAACATACAAAATAAAGAAAAATAAGAAGAATGTAAAAAAGCTACAAAAGTAGTCGAGCAGCAAAAGCGATATGGAAGCTAACCATCAGAACAATGAATCCAAAAAGGATTTTTTAAAGACCTGAAGGCTTTAAAACAAGGGAATCAACACAGCATATATAGTTTAAAAGACCATGATAAATAAAAATTAGAAAATATGTATTAGATGGCAGAAATTCTTTACTGAATTGTTAAACTGTGAAACCCCACTAAATACTTACCCACAGGAAGAGATACTAACATGCGATAAAATGCTGAAGAGCCTGATTTTGAAGAATTACTGTATGTAATAAAACAGCTTAAAAACAATAAAGCAACTGGTGCTGATAAAATTGCAGCTGAACTTATAAAAGAAGGTGGTCATGCATTATATTTAAAGATACGTGAATTAATAAAACTAATTTGGAAGACAGAGAAATCATAACATGAATAGAAAGTGTCTTTATTAATACCCATTTTAAAGAAAGAAGACAAGTGTAAATGTGAAAATTATAGAGAATATCCCTATTATCTATGAGCTGTAAGATACTATCGGCCATACTGCTAAACAGACCAAAACCATATTTCCAAGATATACTAGGTGATTACGAAGCAGGTTTCAGACAGAACTGATCAACAATAGATCACACATTTATTTTACGGCAAAAAGCAGAGCAAAATTTGGAATATCGAAAAAATGTACACAATATTTTTGTGGATGGGGTTTACGGAATGCTATAAAGAACTCTGGAATACCAAAGAAGTGGACCATGACCAACCTATATACGGAAGACACATAATATAGCAACATATAATGGCAGAAAATTTGACCCTTTTCAAATAACATTTGGTTTAAAGCAAAGTGATGCTATGTCCCCACTGCTTTTCAACTTGGCCCCGAAGAAAAGTATAAGGAAATTGAAAGAAGAGGAGAAATTCCAAAAATACTTGGTTATGCAGATGCCCTTAATATCATTGGAGAAAACGAACAAGAGACTGTAAAAACACTGACTCCTAAAAGAAGTAGCTCACAACTAGTAGTGGACTTGTTGGATAATCTGTCGATTATTTAACTAACTCTGAAATTATAAACTCCTTGGAAAACCCCAGAAAACATCTGACCATTAGAGGCGAAGGAATCTGATCAGACAGCCAGTTGGTGACACACAGTGAATTGGGACTATGATGAAGATGATGTCACAAATCTGGAACTGTGTAATCAATGCTGTCGGGCTCTGCCTCATTTATAGTCCTGGAACAAGGACCAACAACCTCAGATCCTCACTCAACTACTCGCTTATCCAAGTCACTCACTAGTTATCAATCAAGAGAGGATAGAATACATCATAATAACAAGAAAGGGAAAGAATATAAACTTCGGCCACACACAAGTCAATAATATGAAAAGCAAACGAGCAGAAATATAAAGGTACTTGGGTGCAAACTTCAACTGCTCCAATATGCTGAGAGAAGAAATACAATCTAGAATTATAATCTAGAATACAATCTGGAAAAAGTGTATACTATGCCCTTCAACATCAGCTAACGTCAAAGTCTCCATCTTGCAATACCAAGATAAAAAATATATGAAAATGTTGATAAGACCAGTCGTTTTATATGGCTCTGAAACTTGGAGCACAGCTAAAAGAGATGAAGTCTTATTACAAATGTTCAAAAACAGCGTTTACGACAAGCTTTGGACCCATCAAAGAAGAAAATAGCGGGGAATGGAGAAAGAGAAGCAACAATGAAATTCATAATCTGTTTAAATCCCCACTGATCACTGGCTTCATGAGGCTTAACAGACTGAAATATCTGGGGCATATTGATTACACAGTTCCAGATTTGTGACATCATCATCTTCATCATAGTCCCAATACACTGTGTGTCACCAACTGGCTGTCTGATCAGATTCCTTCGCCTCTAATGGTCAGATGTTTTCTGGGGTTTTCCAAGGAGTTTATAATTTCAGAGTTAGTTAAATAATCGACAGATTATCCAACAAGTCCACTTTCAGTATATCCCTTATATTTCTAGACTGGTAGATACCAGGTCCGCTGAACTACACTTGCAATACTCTTGTTGACTGTCTGTGCTCTATCAATAACAGACAGATTTTAAAGACTGATATCCTCACTCTGAGACAATCATAGCACACAGTCAAGGGAAGAATGTCTGACAGCACATGGAATCTTACTTTATCTGTGCTGATGGCATTTGCTGTCGGGCTCTGCCTCATTTCTAGTCCTGGTACAAGGACCAACAACCTCAGATCCTCACTCAAATACTCGCTTATCCAAGATGCCACCTCGTCACCACAGTCCTGGGCCTCCAGCTGACTTTTCCAAACTCTGAAAATAAAAGCAATATTCATTTCTTATGCCTTCATTAACCATACAGAAGATAAATATAGTACTTTTATCATACCACTCTCTCTCAGAGGAATGCAGAGACTGGCCAGCAGGTGCCACAGAGGTGGAAATTCAGCAATTAATTCAAGATAATGCTCGCTCAAAGGATTTGATCATTTACACAGACTGTTCAATGTCAAGAGGCAAAAGAAGTGCTTTAGCAAAAGTTAATGGTCGACGTTTGGTGCAGGAGAGCCTAGCATATAATACCACAACATCCAGCTTAAGAATGCAGGTGGAGGCGGTCACTGCAGCTTTCCGCTGGCTGGAGAACACAACACACACATACATTGTAATTGTAACTGATTCAGAAAGCATGCTGAAGAAGATCAGAACAGGTATGCTTCGTGCAGAGTGGAATGCTTCGCTGCGGAGGACACGAGTGAGGAATATTGTCTGGATTTTTTCACCGGGTCACGCCGGTGTGTTGGGAAATGAACAGGCAGACAGACTGGCCGGCTCTGCACAACTTGGTGGAATACTGCTACATGATAGGGCAGACGTGGTTAGTGCCTTGTGGGAGAGCGTGTACAATGCAGAGGAGCAGATGGATCACCACAGTCTGGTGAGATTGATGCAGTTGGGGGTAACGAGAGGTTCTGGCAGAAGCTCAAGGCTCAGAGGAAAGGCAAGACTGACGTTTAATCAGAAAGCTACTGGCACCATTAGTATCGGAACTCTTCGCTGGCTGCTGAAGATGGGGACGGAGCACTTATGGGAATGCCCCGAGTGCTGTGATGTCGGTTCTTGAATCAAATCAAATCTCTCAGAAAACAGAAGCAAAGATCCAATATGGAAGAGATTGTGGCCTCGAAACGAAACATTCCCAAAGACAGTTGTGGATGCAAAATCCACAACAGCCAATCTTCATTGTGGAAATAGCATAACATTTATTGTTAATGTTTATCAGGCTAGCCTAAGATTGATCAACAGCATGCATTATGTTGACTGCTACAGTGATTACACTCTTTCACAAAAACCTGTTAACTGTGTTCTTGATATATTTTATGCTCTCTCTGTTTCTAGCACCACTGATATTCTCACTAGTCACCACCATCTCCATGCCTTACACAGATTATTCTGCATGTCATCTTGTTACATTTCCTTTTGCTGTTATCATGGACAACTACGTGACTGAAATTTTATTTACCACTGCTTGATAGCATGCTAAAGTTTTGCTATTAGTTTGATGAAGATTACTTTGCTCCTCAAAGCTGTACGCTGTATTCTTTGTGCATCCATGTATGATGTTTATGGCCTCATTCTGTATCCGATCTTATCTCTCTATCTATGTATGGATAAGAGTCAGAATAGCCAGAGCGTCCGCAATTGTAGAAAGGATTAGACCCTCGCATAAGAAAAATATGTGATGCTGCTCTCTTATGGGGAGCACTTAAAGGGGTGTCCTGATTCTTAATTCACCATTTAACTTATTTTGTGTGGAGTATTCTGATCCAGTGGACTATCCATGTGATGATTTGTCATAAGATGTTGTGTATCAAGTTACCTCCACCGTTGTAATTCTTCTACGACAATAAAAATGACCGTTAGTCATTATTCTTTCATTCCATCGTTAGCTTGTTGAGTATAGGTATTGTATCATTTTTTATGGGTCGTAGTTTGTATACTACTTGACTTCTATACCATATAACTCTCTCCTCTTATACCTCCACATCCCCGTGTGGGTTCCGGGGCCCTATTGTGTGGAAAACAAGAATAGACCCCCTGCCTATCTAAAAGCATGTCATAAGAGTTGACTAATTGGAAGCTTCCTTCGAAGTCGGATTGCATCTGCCTGAGAGGCAAGAAACCAGCAGTCTGCATACAAATGAGTCAGATCTGTAAAACGGATGCACACGCGACACTCAGGTTCTGGAATACGACTGCAGTCCAGAAGTGGATAAACAACCAGAACTTTCCACTTCGTGAACGAGAAGAAGAAGAAGGTACCTCTACTGACTATTACCTGATCATCTGGGGTGTAGATACATTATTACTACACTCTCCACCAAGGAAGAACCTTTTGTCTTCTCAAACAACCTTAAACTATTATACTTCTCGTCTGTTTCTCTCTTCTTTTATATCCCCTTTTCATCACTAAAGAAACCAGATTTCTTCAGTATGCTGAAACTAAAAATAATACATTAGAGAACATATGGCTCTATGGTTGTAATTCAGAGAGAAGATCTTACAATCTTACTTTAAATACTGTTATGAGAGTAAATCTTGATATTCAGTGTTGATGATGGATTTACATACAGTAGTATAAACAGCACATAACAGTCCAAGACAAATCTTTTGACTCCCATACATGCTAACATTTTAGACAAAAATGTGGACCGATATTACCAGGAAAGCTAATAAATTTTTGTCTGCTGATAACAGTTAAATATTTTATTCAGAATTACCTGCATGGAACTACCTTCTTTCTGTCCAGTTTTGGGTACAAAGGGACTCTAATGTCTGGCATACCGTCTGCTCTAAGTACTAGATCTTGGCCATCACAAACTGTCTCAATTCCCGCCATCTTCGGTAACTGCCGCTGGGTGACAAAATCACCGTTTGGACGAACGATCACAAAGTGCCTGTAAAATATATCTATAATTGAAAACTACATTTACAATGCTTACACTGCCAGAGCAGTAATATAAATATTATTTTCATTTCTAATTTATTTAAATCATAATACTTGTCTTTCAACATCACCAAAGCAGGTAGGTAGGTAAGTTGTACCCCACCAGGACATCACACAAGTGATAAACACCCGGTGACACAAAGTGCCACCATGTGGATGAGGATCACCTGTGGAGAGGTTTTGGAAACCCCGTTCAACTGCCAGGCCATACTTAGGGCCCAACTATATTTAAGGGCCCCCGGCAAAAGCCAGGGTGGGGCTTCGAAATAAAAAAAAATTTCATCTCACATGGGGATGATTCGTATGTCATTAGCAAAGCAGCTCAGAGGTTTTACATGGTGTATAAACAATTGCACACGAAAATAGCAAACAAATGAATATAAACATGTTTAGTATCTTTCCTGTAGCAACATACAGATGTGTATCATAGAACAGTTCATAGTACCTTAACAAGAAAATCCTAACATCTTAACATGAATAATGCTGAATAATTCTTAGATCGTGGAGAGGGATAACAAATACTTACATTCTACAAGATCTCGTCAATGAAGAATTATGGCTCATCAACAGTATCATGATTTGGAAACTGAAATCTTTTAGCCATATCAAAGGTTGCTATGGTTTAGAGAGAATAGAAGAGGCCGGAATCAACTAAAACATCAGTGAATACAAAATATCAAAGAAACACACAAGAGGCAGAAGCAGAAGAACCAGAGAAGGACAAGGAATATTTCTAGCAGGTTAAGTAACAAAAAATAAAGAGAAAGGTGGGAGGTGGGGGGTGGGGGGAGGGGGGCTGCAAAGAATATGATAGGGTGATGGTAATGGAGATAGGTCTAAACCCTACATTTTCAGGAAGATCAATCCCGGCTCAGATTAATGTTTACAGTTAGGAAGAAAAAAAAACTGAACTTGTGACTAAGACAGACAATGTACCTCTTTGTCACATGCAAACCCAAACAAATAACTATTTCCGTAATGGATTACTGGCTCTGGAACCCAAACAGTGGGGAGAAAAAGACTTACAAAGACTTGTGAAATAGAAACTTGGAGATGTTTTAAAAGAGGTGAATGCTCGAAGACAACTTATCACAAACATCAGAAAGAGACAGTCATCTTTTTTTTGGTCATGTTATGAGAAGAGGGAAATTGAAACCCGTTGTGACCACTGGAAATATCTTTGGAAAGAGAGACAGAGAAAGACAGTGTAAGAAGATTCTTGACAGTCTTTTGTCATGGCATGGACATCATCATCATCACCACCACCCTCATCAACATCATCCTCATCCTCATCATCGTCATCAGCATCAACTGCCTTGTCGAATGGCGTTGGAGATCATAACTCTCAATAACCTGCGATCTTCAACAGCATGTATCAGTTCTTGTGTGAAAGCTCTCCGAGTCAAACTGCCATCAGGAATCTTCTCCAGTTGCTTTCCTCTATCGCACTTTTCCTAATTCATTCCAGCACACAAACTGATACATGCAGTTGCAGATCACAGATTGTGGAGAGGCATGAACACTCACACCTGTCAGCAAGGCACTTGATGATGATGAAAAGAGACACAGATGAATGATACAGGCAGGACTTTGTGAGAGCTGCAAGGGGATGGCTAAGATAAGAAGGCCTGAAGTTGGTTGGCTGCCTACAGGAATTCAATTACAGAAAAGCCTGGAGAGAATGAGGCACCTGGGTGTAACAAGAGGGTCTGGCCCGCTCACTACACTCAGAGGGAAGGCAAGACGGACATATAACCAGATTGTGACCGATATCATCAATATTGGAACTCTGCGTTGGCTGCTGAAGATGAGGATGAGGCACGCATGTGAATGCCCCGAGTGCTGTGATGTCAATGCTTGACTCAACTCAACTCCAGAAAATCATCATCAGGTGCCTTGCCGACTGGCGTGGGCGATCATGCCTCTCCATAATCCGCGATCTCCTGCAGCATGTATCAGTTCGTGTGCCGACACACCTCCATGCCATGCAACAAGACTGTCAAGCATCTTCTCTTGTTGTCTTCCTCTATCCCTCCTTCCACAGATCTTTCCAGTGGTCACAACATGTTCTATTTTCCCTCTTCTCATAACATGGCCGAAAAATGATGACTGTCTCCTTCTGATGTCAGTGATAAGTTGTCTTCGGTCTCCCGCCTCTTTTAAAACCTCTATCTACAGGCCTTTCCACCATCCGCCACCTGGTGGACGCGCCTAGTAGTAGGACAGGCTCCTACCCCAGGTCCAGAAAATAGTGACCGAAATTATCAGATACAGGCTGATCATAACTGATTGTTCTTACCTGTCCATTGCATTTGACATCCGCATTCCAGACACTGTACAAAAGGCCACATCATTAGTTATGCCTTTACAGGATTTTATTGGGTAGCAGTTCAATGCAGTAACTTTGCCAACAAGTTCATATTTTTTTGGTTTACGCTTGGACAAGAATACAGCAGCAGTAACAACAACAGCAGCCGTGACAGCAACAGCACCAAGTGTAACTCTGGAACTCAGCAGACTTGACCACACAGCCATTCTTGAAATTTATGCTGAAATAAAATAGACTCTCACTTACAGCACTGCATACGTTTGGACAGAGACATGTTCTTGTAGATAGTAGTGGATAACCAAAGGTTAATTACATAGTAGATACGGGTACAGGGGTAACAAATGTTAAGTATTCCAATATATAAGGCTAGTGGTGATGTTTTTGAACCTCCATTTAGGCAGGGCATATTTCAAGGACTTTAAAATGGCATAGAAACATAGATAGCTGATGTGATATTAACATCTATACATCAAGTGCCAACTGGTCTAAAGCTGGAGGATTTGGACCTCGTAATAAATACATCTCACAGTGTTAAAAAAGCTGGTTTAATTTTTAAAAAAAAACATTTATCTACACTAGATTGACACTTGTTTTATTTGTGCCATTTCAGCGATTATGTCACATGATTTTAATCATTTTAGTCTGTAGCTCTGCTCCTTATTTCTCATCTACACAGCAGTAATTAGTTTTCACCAAGTGAAACTGGGTTATCATTTTGTCTTTATCATCCCTGATGAATTTTTAGACTATTTAGTGTGTTCAGCTATTAAGTATCAAATTTTGTGTGGGTGACAGAAGGACAGGGTCACCAATGAGGTGAGATCACCATGATGCTCTGTCGAAGATCCCTAAATTCCATTTCTGGTGGCTGCTGTCATCTTTATAATCCAGTCTATAGTCAATAATAACAATAAAGATCATAAGAGACCCAGATCCTTATCTTAAATTGTTAGCTCATCCTGGTAAAGAACAATGCACTTATTATCCTTTAAGTTGAGTGAATGATCTCCTGTGGGATCCCACAGCGCCTTATTAGTTTCTAAAGATAATTCTTAATAATACGGTCGGACGTTTTTCTTAGTTCACAAACCAAATAAAAAGCGGGTTCTGGGTTACGACTGGTACTGTCATCATGTGGAGCCATTATCTGTCATATACGGTTCGCAGTCTAGTAATCCATTCTGTTCTATCCTATCAATCAATCAGGTGCCGTCTCCACAATGAAGGTTGGCTGCAATGGATCTCCAACAAGCCCTGTCTCTTGCCCTTGATGTACACTCACTCATACTGCTGTTGGTAAATCTCTTGATGTTATCCTCCCACTTGTAACGCTGTCTGCCTCTTGCTCGCCTACCTTGAACCTTTCCCTCTAGGATGATCTTTACAATACTGTTATGTCTTTTAATGTGACCAAAATGTTTCACTTGTCTCTTTTTTATTTCACCTAGCAACTCTCTTTTCATTCCCAATTTCCTCAGTACCTATGTATTTGATAGCTTTTGATTCCATGAAATATGACCTAATCTTCTGTATATCCACATCTCCAAAGAATTCTATCCTATGTGCAATCTACCTAATAGGGAAAGAATCCAATTTAGTGCCTCTGACCTCTCTCAACTTTTATCCCAGGGTCTCCCTTGGATGACCTCGTTTCCTCATTCTATTTGTTTCCTATTTCAGTGCCAGTCTGGTTATTCTATGTCCAATTCTCCTCATGATCTGCCCAACACATTGTAAATTTTTTTAAATCTTGTGACTAATGACTGCATTTATCTTATTTCTTAACTTTTCTTGAATTTAAACAATTTATTGTTCATTAAATTCCTTATGTATTATTTTTGACTGAATGTATTCTTTCGCTCCATGTCTTTGGTTGTTTTTCAACTTTAACTTGCATAGGTTAAAACTGAAATAACAGTTTAAGTAAAAGCACTCAACTTGGTTTTAATAAACTATATGATTTAGAGTTATATTTTTTCAGACTTTTAAAAGCTGCTGTTGCCCTGCCAAGACATTTCATTATTTCTTTGTTTCTTTTGCAATGGAAACTGCTATAAAAATAGGTAAACAGATTAGTCACTCTAATTTTTTTTCCTTCCACTGTAACATCTGCTTGATCTGTTACTGATGTCTTCAATATATTCACTGTTTCATAAGTGATTTGTAATCCAACTCTTGATGCTATATTTGCTAAATTATCTGTTTTGCTTTGCATGTCACTGTGGTTCTTACTTAGCAGAACTATATCATCTGTAAAATTCAAATCCCGTTTTTTTTTGGGTTTACATCCAGCAGATGTCGGTATTTCCCACATAACATTTTCCCATCACCCAATCAACAGTTATGCCAAAATATTATTTGACAAGGTATCAGGGCAACTGGAGCCCTTCAATATTTGCTGATTACTACTAGACTGTGATAAGAGACACTTCATCGACGGACTAAAAGTAAAAAGCAAAGATAACTCAAACAGAAACTGAATAATGACAGAATGGGTTAAAATGTGCCTTCCTAAAACATTATATATAAACTGTAGATTTATGTGTTCCATCATTTTTTAAACGTTGAAATATCAATTCAAGTTACCAATCGTGAGTATTTAACAACAATTTTTATAATGCAAAAGTAGATAGACTAACTGTTCATCTCAGAGTATTAAACAAGCACATATTGTATTACTATGTTCATCAGGGTAAAGATCTGACATCACAGCATTCAGGACAGGCCCATACTAGCTCAGAGTTCCTCCTCAACAGACATTAAAGAGTTTCGAAACTGATGGTGCTGGTAGTCATCTGGTTAACTACTCGTCTTGCCTTCTCTCTGAGTACCCAGTGGTGCCCACAGCCACTCCCAGCTATATCATTCTCTCCAGGTACAAGTTTTCAGTATCTTCCATTTCACCCGTTACCTCGTCCCACAGGTTAGAGATCACCTCTGCCTTGTACAGTTGTAGAACACCTCCAAGTGGGACCAGTTCAGCCCGCTTATCTGCCTGCTCATTCCCAAACACCACCTAAATGGCTCACGCAAGATATCTGTGTGACTCTCACTACGTGCGTGCACACTCTGGATAGATGTAACCCGCTGCATACAAAGAAAACCAGACTCTACTTCTCCAAGCAAGCTTTGCAAATCTGATACTATGACAAGATGTATGGCTGAGAGTTTTCTCACACATTAGAACACTGCACTTGCATTACTATAATGTCAATTCATCATTAAAAAAAAACAACAACAACTGGAGTCAACTGTTGACTTTCATTTTGTTTAGAATCAACATGTCAAAATTAATCAGAAATGGTTTATTTAAATTCTTTTTAAAACTTGTTGATTAGTGTAATAAAGAGATAAAATGCATCCCAGTTTTGATTGCAAACCAGTCAGTTACAATTGTGCACACTGCATATTCTGAGTCCTCCCACACTATGACTCTATGACACACTATAAACAGAGTTTTATATTATTAGGTACTGAATATTCATGTCTGTCTTATACTTTCCATTTGTTAATACTCCATAGGAATATGTTATTTTTCTGATAATTGTGAGCCTGGCATATGATACCATAACATCTGGTTTGAAAATGGAGGCAGAGGTGGTCACTGCAGTCTAGAGTTGGCTTGGGAATCAGCTGTACACACATGTTGTGACTGTAACTGACTCACAAACATGCTGAGAAAGGTAGAGACAGGTATGATGCATGCAGAGTGGCAAGCATCGCTTCAGAAGTCCAAAGTACTTAGCATCTTTTAGAATTAAGATATTTTCTCAAGGGCATGCAGGTGTGTTAGGAAATGAACAGGTGTACAGACCTGCTGGCTCTGGGCCACTTAGTGATAAATTTGTGCACGACAAGCTAAATGTTGTCATGGCTCTTTGGGAGGGAATAAAGAGTGAGACAGCACACTTAGATTATTGTGGTCTGAAAAATATGGTGGAACAGGGAGTGACCTGGCCAACACACCACACTAAAGAAAGGGAAAGAGGCACTTACAGTCAGACTGTTATTACTTTCTGCTAGCTGCTGAAGATAGGGATGGAGCACTTATGGGAATGTCTGGGTGCTACGATGGTTCTTAAAACTTTACTCAACTAAATTCTGATAACTGCGATATTCTATTATACTGTGCTCTGAGTATTTTGAAGCTATCTGGGGTATTATTTAGCTTTGGTATGTTAATACCCTGTAGAGCAGTTTTTGTTCTTATGATGTACTGTTTTCCCTGCAGTCAGTCCATATAATGTTAGGATGTCTTGCACTGTCAAAAGCTTACAGCAGCTGATCATATACTCATCTGAGTGTGTATTATAGAGCTCATACTTCTTGCACACTTGAAGGTCTTCTTTCTTTAGTAGTTTAATACAAGACATGGCTTATTTGATGTATGCTTATGATAAAATGTTTTGTAAGGCAAGGGCCTTTGATAAATTCACTTACAAAACTTGCCAGATAAGTCCACTACCATGGAAAGTATTGACCTAATTGATCTCACATCTAAACACTTAACATGACTAAACAGTATAGAGAGGAAAGGATCCTAGCACTGTGGACTGAATGAATCAATGTGTTGGCAGGAAGATCTGCCCAGTAACTCTGAATATATTAATTACTGGTGAAAGTAATTATCTGTGTGATCAGAGTATAGCTTCAATTTCTATATTATATTATTATTATTTAGGCTCAGCTATTCTCTAATCTCTACTTCTGTCACTGTCAGTGCCATATTTAACTATAGGCGACATAAGATAACTCCAGTTTAGGGGCTTAAAAAATAATTAATTCTTCTGTTGTATCTACAAACAAATGCAAAAGAAAAATTACACTCAGCATCATGAGTATGAGTGTATGTATAGAAAGAAACATGTTACAGCAGCATATCTTTTGAGCACATTAATGACTTTTCATTTATGATACTCCCCCAATATGTGGCCGTAGTTGCAAGGAGAGCCAACTTTTATACGATTATTAATATCATTATGTAATATATTTATTTTCTTTAGCAGACACATTATTTGTTTTTGTTTGCATCTGATAGAAATAACTTATTATTATTACCCTTATATTTATAAGACAGGTGTCTATATTCTAAAGTTTTCTGAGATCAGCTGGTGTGATTTTAACGGCAGGGCCTCATGGCTTTTATAGAACTCAGAGCCTCATTGTCTAAAGACAATGTCTAAAGACAGTGGTGGTGCACTCAAGC